TTCTTCCACTGTATGCAACTTCTAGCTATGCTTTTGTGCTATCCTGAATGAAGTTTCATTTTGGATTGTGTGTGGGGGTGTGTGTGTGTGTGTGTGTGATCCGTTTAGTGCCCTGTTTAGATCATTGCTAGAATAAAAGGAGATTTGGTTACTGGTATGACATATCATGTAGCCATCTTAGCCAGAAGTTTTCCCTAATAAATTTCTTAATTTTTTTTGGTTATGTGACATAGTACAAAGTCAAGTTGCAGTATCCTAGATCCTTTTTATAATTTCTGTAATTATAAAGTGATTCCCCATCATGGGAGATAAGATTTTCAGGCCTACCAGAAATAAAAAAAAAATTCCACGAGATCTTACAGGCTGTGCTGGAATTGTGCCAATAATTTTGGTATTACTTTGATTTAAAAGGATGGTAAAAATTTGTTGTTGTTGTCATTCAGTTGTTTTTCAGTCGTGTTTGACTCTTTGAGACAACATTTGGGGTTTTCTTGGCAAAGATACTGGAGTGATTTGACACTTCCTTCTCCAGCTCATTTTACAAATAAGGAACTGAGGCGAACAGAGTTAAGTGACTTGTTTATGGTCACACAGCTAGTGTTTGAGGCCAAAATTGAATTCAGGAAGACTCACCTTCCTCATTCCCAGCCTGGGACCCTATCCATTGTAACACCTAGCTGCCCCTATAGTAAAAACTACTTTTTTCCAATCTTCTTCAGTACTTCAGTTTTATATTGGCTTACCCATTTTAGTGATAGTAGCTATTTATTTTTAAATGCTCTTCTTTTTCTTCCAACTTTAAGAAGCTTATATTATACATTAGATGAATTAATTGTAGCTGCCATATCCCTTTGAAAGTCTTTGCTTGTTTTCTAAGGATTACTTAGGCTATTTTGGAGTACAGTTATTACTTTCACATTGAGACTTTCCTCATCATGGTTTTGATATAGTGAGGATCAGCTTAAGAAATTATATGGGAATTTGGGGGGATTTTGCAGAAACCGCAGATGAAGTGTGAAGGCCAGCAGACAATGAACCAAATACTTAACCCAAATTATAGGTAGTGTGAACATCCCATAAAAGAAAAAGAAAAAATTTGTATTTCTCTGGAATGAAGAGAAGACCAAAATATTTTACACAGATTTTCCAGATCTCAGGGATGCCGTGCTCCTAACCCTCGTGGTGTAGAAGGGGTAACTCTAGTAGTTTGTCAGTTCTAAGAAAAGCATTTCATTTTCAATCACGATTTCTTTTTCACTTTGGTGTACTTCATCCTGTTTCATTATGGACTTAAATGGTTCTTGAAATGATTGACTTTTCCCACACTATTACAACCACTGCAGTATCTCTAATAAATAGTCATTGAAATGTGCTTATTAAGAACTACAACTTTTGTACATTTCCTTGGAGTAATATTCATTTCTAAAAACCATAGAATTAAAAATGCAACAAAAGAGATGAATGAAACAAGTATTTAGCATGAAATCTATCCCTCCTGATAAAAAACTAACTAAACCTGAAGAAATCAGCTCAATCTGGTTTTACCTGTTCAAAATCAGATATTTTGAACCAACCTAATATCAGTAAAAGCACACACACAACTATTACTGTCATAAAATGAAAACACATCTAAAATATTGCTTGGTTCAATAATTCACACACTACTACAATTCATTCCTCCCTTCACCAGAGGTTCTGTCATGTTAGCAATGGATATTTAAATAGTACAATGAGAAGGTATTAGGCTCCCATAATACTGCTTTTGTATATAATATCCACTTTAGCTAAATCATTCAAACTTACAAGGAGTACCAACCTGCCTGCTAAAAATATCATAGCTCTTTTAAGGTCTGTTTCTCAAGTGATTGCATAAAAAAAGAAAAAACAAACAAACAAAAACAACAGAGAACTAACTGAGATCAGATCAAGAGAGATTCAGTCAGTAAACATGTCTTAAGCATCTACTATGTGCTAGGCAAGTGCTTAGTGCCGGGGATACACAAAAGAGGCAAAATATAGTCCCTGCCCCTAAGGAGCTTATAATGTACCCTCCAACCACATGCATTTTCCTGTGTTCATAGGTATATACTTAAGTTTTCTCTGTTTTGCGCAACCACAGCTGATTTATCTTTTTCCCTTGAATTTGGACTAGACCTGAAACCCACATTAGCTACTTTCACTATTTATGTGAACTTAGGCAAGTCATTTAAGGTCTGAATACCAGTTTCCTCATCTATAAAATGAAGGGATTGAGGGGCAGCTAGGTGGCGCAGTGTATAGAGCACAGGCCTTGGAGTCAGGAGCACCTGAGTTCAAATCTGGCCTCAGACACATAACACTTACTAGCTGTGTGAATCTGGGCAAGTCACTTAACCCCAATTACCTCACCAAAAAATAAATAAATAAATAAAAAATAAGAAAAAAATGAAGGGATTGGGCTAGATGATCCCTTTCCTTCTTGAAGCACCAGACTCCACTGATGCCTGGAACCCTATCCCTAACCCTCCCACTTGTCCTTCATTGTACCTGAACATAATAGTAAAGTTGAAAGAGAAAGGAAAGGAAAAGAAATTTGGAGGCCCTTTTCCATCCATCAACTGCTTCTGCTCCCAGCATTTTCTGATTCATTCTTGCTTCTGCCATTTTGGGTGCTGTTTCTCACCTGAGATCCCTTGCTCTAATTTGCATGAGAAAATGCCTAATCCTGGGCATCTCCCTGAAATACAGATGAATCTTACTTCTTTGTGAATACAAAATACACAATAATCACCTCTGTACCTCTTGGGGTATAAGAAAAAAAAATGGAAAGGGAAGCTTTGTTTAACCTTCAAAAAACTAAATGCCTATTGGATTCAGATTAATTGTGCTAAGTACTTAAGAGAAGTACAAGGATTTGGTCCTTATCATGCTGAAGCTTACAGTAATACACACAGACAACTGCAATACTCAGTAATATGTAAATGTATTCGAGTTGTCAAAGAAAGTTGTGTGAAATCCAAGGGGGAAGGTTTTTATCATGTGAGTCAAGGGATGTGTGTGTGTGTGTGTGTGTGTGTGTGTGTGTGTGTGTGTGTATGGAAGGGAATTATACAGTCTAGGAAGGATTACTGGAGGGGGTAGAATTTAAGTTTGGCTTTAAAGGATGGGTAGAAATTTAGCAGATTGAGAAAGAGGAAGAACATTTTAAGCATAGGAAAGTAGGTGAAAGATGGCTAATCAACAGCAGAGCCAGGGTATGTTTAGAGGATAGAGTAGTCCAATTTGGCTAGAATGAAAAATGTATGTAGGGACAGGACCTGGCATGTAGTAGAAACATAATAAATGCTTATTAACTGACTGAATGGGAGGAAGACGTTTCTATTCCTTGTCTGTTTCCCATTGTTGATAATAGTAAAAACTCTTAGAAAATTTTAAAAAGTGCTTATTTCAGGATTGGGTTTTCCTTTGTATTACATCTGGTCCAAAGCAGGAAAGATGAGAAGCTGGCAAGCCAAGCTGGCTGGGATCTCTAAGAGGGGGGAAGAGATGAGGAGTAAGCCAGAGAGAATTTCCCTTTGGGCTTACCTTGACTTGAGATCTTTCCCTTCTCTTCCCACCTCCCCCCCAATCTCCAACAGTAGTTCTTCAACCCACACCAGTCTGAATCAGGTAAACACTAAGACAGTTTTCATTTTGTTTTATCTGTCTATAGCAGTTGACACAATCAGTTGACCATTTCTTCCTTCCTAAAGCTCTTTAGATTCTTCTCAATTTCTTGGCATTTCATGATCTAGTTTTTTCTCTTACCTCTTTAACTATTCCTTCTTTATCTACTCTGCCAGCTTCTCTCACTTTTTCTACCGATGAAATATAGGCATTCTTCATGATAAGGAGTTCCTGGTAATAAAGGAAAACATACTCTTGGAATCCCAAGTTTAAACTTGGAATGCATTTTCCCATGGAAACAATGTTAACTATGGTTGTTAGAGTCTGTAGCTGATTTCCCCCTTCTGCCTAGCAGTAAATTGATTTTTTACTTATATGGCATTTCATATTTACATATTTCATATTTAGAGGAGATGCAAATAGAGTGCTGGGCCTGTAGTCAAGAAGATCTGAGTTCTAATCTTATCATAGATACCTACTAGCTATGTGACCTAGGGCAAGTCACTTGACCTGTTTGCCTGATCTGTAAAATGAAGTTAATAGTAGCACCTACCTCACAGGGTTACTGTGAGGATCAAATGAGACTTTTTTGTGAACCACTTAGCGTAGTGTCTGACAGACAGTAGGTGCTATATAAATGCTTATTTCCTCCCTCCCATTTGCCTAGTAGTACTGATCATATACCAGTTCATGTTTTACTATATGTTGTATTATTACTACTATACCTCTACCTGCTAGATTGTAAACCCATGTTAAAATGTGTTGTGTATGAATGAATGAATGAATGAAAAATATTTATTAAGAGCTTAGTATGTACCAAGCATTGGTTTAAGCTATGAGGATAATCTAGTCCAACTCCCTCCTATTACGGGTGTAGAAACTGAGACCCAGTGTTGCTAAATGTCTTGCCACAGATCACACAATTAGTAAGTGGTAGAGTTGGGCTCTGAACCCAGGATCTCTCATTCCAAAGCCAGGGCTCTTTCAGTTGTGCTACTGTGCCAATAAATCAGTGAGTTTATTTATTAATGAGTCTAACCATCCAATATTGTTTTTATGGGACAACATATTCTGACTTCTAAACAACTAAGTTGATATGTATGTATATATTTTTTTCTTAATTTGGGAGCTACCTTTGTTGTAAAGGTAGCAACAAGGATTTTCAAGGACAGAGGAGTTAAATGGTAAAATAATCGTTTCTGAAATTTTTTGCTTTGAGATTTATTATTTTTAGCTAGTCACAATCTAATTAATTTCCAGATTCATAAGTTATCTAATAACAATTTTTATGTTGATTTTCTATATAATGAAAAATAACTGTGCTTTTTGCCTGGGTGGGGGGGGTATGTTAATAGGAGATCAAGGAAAAATTGGATTCCAGTCATAAGCGGGATATTGAAGGCATGGGAATTGCAGAAATAAAGTATGGCGATTCCATATGCTTTGTCCAGCATATAGCTAGTGGTTTATGGATGACTTACAAAGCACAAGATGCCAAAACACCACGCCTTGGCCCACTGAAAAGAAAGGTGAGCAGTTTCAATATCTATACATTTGTTACTTCAGCTTAGAAATATTTGAGCAATGGAAATGAATTGGTGTCAGGGGACTCTTGTAGTATGAACTATGCATTACTCTACAGAGTGCCTAATTTTCTGAACTATTTACTCTGTCATTAGTTGGTATTTCCTAAGGTATTCAAAATGATTTTATTTTTGCCTTAAAAAACATTTAAAAATATAAAACATCTATCCCTGTCCCCAATCCCACCACCACTTTCAAAAGCCTCATGTAAATGATTTAAAAGTTAGCTACTATTTTAGAATTATATACTCTAATACTTCTGTGAATGGAGCTTACTTTCTATTTAAAGAAAAATAGAGGTTAAATAGGACACACATGGAGAAAACATGGATTCTATAATGACATAAATCCATAAGCATAGGTTTTCTTTTAAGATTTTTTAAGTTTTATTTTATTTTCAGTTCTAAATTATCTTCCCCTCCTCCCATTAAGAAGGCAAGAAAAATAAAATCCATTATGAATAAGGTATAGACTTTCAATGAGGTAGGATAGTGATGTATTACAAAACTTTCTTCTCAGCTTTGAATATTTTGCTTTAGTCTGCCAACAGTAGGGAAAATGGCCTAGATACAAGTGTCAACATCTTCTTTAGGAAGTTATTTTATATTTTAGATCATCTTTTGATTTGCAGCAGGGAACAAACACCAAGAATTTGAGATTTCCACCAATTGGAAAACCAATTGGGAATCAAAGAAAGGTTGCAAATATAGGTACTGATACACACAAAATACATACATACAAATATATACTTATATATATATGTGTGTGTATATGTATGTATATATGTGTGTATCACATGTAAAAGAATTGTGTGCTTGTTTTTCTAAAGTTATCTGAAGTTCTGATCCCTACATTTCAAGAAAGACATAATAAACCTGGGAAGGTGCAGAGAATTGGTAAGATGATGAAGTGGCTTAAGGAACTTCTTTAGAAGAGACCAAAAAAACCTCCAAGAAACCAGAACACCAAAAGAAAGAACTAAAAGTAGATAAAATTGTAAAATTATAAGATCACAATAATAGATCATATTTATATATGCTATGTCTTTTTATAAATTCTTCTAAATGATGGGCATGTCAGTATGTATATGAAGCATTTTTTAGTGAAGGGCAGGCAATCTGAATAGATTAGGCAAAACCAAACATCCATTTGGCCCACATAGTCAGGAGATGACTGATCTAAAACTGAGGGACTGATCTTTTAACTGCTGTAAGGTTTCATCTTGGCCCTTTCTCTCTAAAGATGAGATTTAAACTTGAGTCATATAGCCCTTTCTAGAGAGCAATACACAAATGTGTATGTACATATGTATGTATATGTATATATATGTACACTTATATACATGTACACATACATATAAACTTTGCCTCTGAGATCATGGACTTGTAATAGCTCAAAGAACTGACTTTTCCACTGTGCCTATTATATTCTTGTTTTGCTAGTTGGTTTGAACGCATTAACTGAATAAGCAAAACTTAGGAAGCTTTGGTCCTTAGGGACCAGAGATGGGACAGGAGCCAAAAAAAAATCCACTAATGTACATACACTAGCAATGTATTTCAAATTCTAAATGCAACATCATTGAGTAGTTGCTGGGAGGTGCTAAGCAGAATAATGTTTTGTAGCAGTGAGTGAATCAAATGATAGGGGCACATCCTTACCTGAACCTTCAAAGCTCATAGGTTAAATAAGAGGCACAAGACTTTGCAAACTGGTATTCTCCTTTCTTGAATTTATTGTAGTAGGACATACTTTTGAGAAAATAGAGAAGTGGAATTTCACAAGATCTGATCTAGTATGATATTTATTATGTTCCTAAGATAAGAGGGAGCAGAGACACTTCTTTAAATGAAGTTTATTTGTGAGGCAGCTCTCTTCTTTACACATTGACACATAATACCTTTGAGATCTATATTAGTTCACTTTTTCCCTTTGTTACTGTTAAAAGAAATTAAATGCCAAGAAGCACCTCTGGGTCTGTTGGTTGAATAGCATTATAAAGGGTATGTGGTTAGCCTGTTTTTTTTTTCCCCAAGGAGAGCAGAGGTAGTCAGCTGCTGATCTCTGCCTCATTTCTAGCCCCACAAAAAGGTAAAAATATCATATAACAGCTCTTTATTTATAGTAATAAAAAGTTGACCTCTATGACTTCATCTTTGTACCATCATTTATTGGCATTAAAAATGGATATTCTCGTGTCTGTCTTCTGCTGCTACTTAGGTTATCTTACTTACAGTATGATTATATCTAAGATTTACAGCCTCTCTTTAGTCAGAGTAATCCAAGTCTATGATCCTAGTAGAGAGTATTGTTTTAAATTTTCTTTCTGCTTCCAGTGATATATTTCTGGGGGAGTAAAATTCTAATATTCCTATTTTCCAGGAAAAGTAATAATGATTATTATTAACAACAACAACAATAACAGCAATAATTCATATAGTGCTTTAAGGTTTGCAGAGGTTTTGCATTCAGTTTAAGAGAAAAATCTATGTATTTGTGAGATATATTTTTCCCTTCCCAATTTATGTAATAGGTCCAAAAACTGCAATCTAAGCCAGCCCATTATATTTCATTTGCAATCAGAGCAATGAGGATCAGAAGTAAGTGGGTAAATAGACCTAAACCAACTGTGTTAATACTTTAGGTTTGAAAATTGTTTCTAAAGTTTGGTAGGAAGTGATGAAGGAGAGAATTATGCAAATCACATTTGCGGGTCAGTTTAGGGGATGGTGTATAACAGAAGACTTGGCTTTCATTTACCTCTCTATGCAGGTTATACTCCATCAAGAGGGCCACATGGATGATGGCTTAACACTTCAGAGATGTCAGCATGAGGAGTCCCAGGCTGCTCGGATCATCCGAAACACAACATCCTTATTTAGTCAATTTATAAGGTAAATGAATGGTTTTTCTATGTTTCCCTGTTAATCTCATTGACTTGGGTCTCATGGCATTCTTTTACCATTAACTTTTCTTATATTGTATAAAGCATGACAGGAAACAACTAAGCACCTGAAGAGCTAATCTACAGCAGAAAGTTGGGTCACTGAATATTTTTTTCATGTTTGGGACTTCCCCTTTGGCACCACTCTCTTCCCTCACAACTGCCTGCTTTTAATATGCAGAGTGAATCAAGATGTGAGATATTCTGCTGACTAATGTGTTTTCACTTGCAAATGAAACTAAATGGACTTTGGCTCCAGTCTTACTTAATCCAAGTTGCATTAAACTCATTTTGTTTGATGTTACAGAGGAGAAAGCTGTAATATGCCAGAGCTGATAGATTTGCAGAGAGCTGCTACTGCATTCATAATTATTGCTAAACTTGGATTAAGTTAGATTAGTTGTGAGGGACTGTCTGATGTTGACTACTGCCAAGTGCAGATTGTGGCAAGATGGGGTAGGAACAAGATATTAGGAAGTAACCGGAGCTCACGCTCCCGAGGCAGGGGCTATGCTAGGCGGAGTTGTGGTGAACTGGGATGGGCTGGATACGGAGAAGTAACCGGAGCTCACACTCCTGAGGCAGTGGGCAGTGCTATGTGGAACTGTGATAAGCTGGGGAAGGAACAGAATACAAGGAAGTAGCCAGAGCATGTGCTCCTGAGGCAGGAGGCTGTGCCACGTGGTAGTGGGACGGCAGAGAACGAGTTCCTTTGTCTAGCCCCCTCCCTAGGTACAACGCTAACCCCAGACGCCTCCTTCCTGTGTCCTTCCTGACTTCCTGGGTCACGTACCTTCCCTTTGTGTAGCACTGACCCCAGACGCCTCCACCTGGTATCTGGGCCTGACTTCCTGGGTCACGTACTCTCCCTTTGTCTATGCACTAATCCCAGACGTCTCCTGCCTGTATCCAGTCCTAGCCTCCTGCGTCACTTCCTCTCCCTTGGTGCGCTAAACTCAGACATCCCCTTCCGGTATCTGACCCTACAATCAATGACTAGTAGGCGGGCTGAGGAGGAGGGGCTAAGTAGGTACTTAAGGAACGGGTCGTGGTCGGAGCTCTCTCTCTCTTTGCTCCTCCTCTCTTGCTCTGGCCTTCCTGCTTGGCCTTGCTGTGATGGCCTCCGAATAAAGCTCAGGTGTTGGCACCTCCTGGTCGGCTCGTCTCTGTGTGTTTATCCGGGTAGGCTCCGAAGACTGGTAAGTATGACTCTGGCAGCCTGCTCCTTATAGGAGAAGAGTGCATGGCGCGGCCCGCACAATTAGTATTGTGAATCTTATGTTCCAAAGTAATACAAGGATTTTATGGAGTCAGTAAGTGAACTGTCTTCTCTCATCTCCTAGACTGGGAGATGCTGCCAAAGCATATAGCTGTATTATTTCTTTGTCTTGTGGTAAATCCATCTTCCTTGAAACCAGTAGTTGTTGGTTCCCCAAAATTCCAACCATTATTCTATTCTAGGAAAATGTTTTTCCTGCAGGAAGTTTTAGGGGGAAACTATGCACATGTTAGTGGATTCGCACATATGTGGAATGAAAAATTCTTTTCATTTCTTTAATCATCTCTCTAGTGAAGTAGTATGATCAAAGGAATGAAACTAAAAGCTGGGAGTTAGAATGCCTTACTTCACTTTTGGTTTGTTACTCTCTCCTCAGATGGCCTGGGGCAAGTGTCCCCTCTCCCCATACCTTAGCATCTCTGTTAGTAGGAGGCTTAAGATTAGTTTCCTTCCCTTTCTAAGTAGGGAACAGAAAGGGGTTTTATAGATGTCGGTTTTGAGATATAGATGTTTCCTATGATTATTAAGAATATTAATGTCACTATTAATAGCCGTATTTGATGGGAATTGGTGTCAGCCTCAGGAATGAGAGAGATCTGTGTCTTTACCCTCCTAGACTCCTCTTAGCTTCTGTTAATAAAGGTTCTTCTGAAGACCTTAGAAGTTCTCTGTTAGACAATCGAACAGCCTTTTAATTCTTCTAGCTATAATACAGTACTTTAGTAGAAAGAAAGAAAACAGTGATTTGGCTGTTATTCCTCCCCACTCCACCCCCATACATAATAGTATTTAGTGGGGACTGGATGAAATGGATGAGGAGAGATACTTGGATTCAGAGTTAGGAAACCTAAGTTCAAATCCAACTGTAATACTTTAGAAAATTTAAGATGGGAGAGATGTTAGAGATTATAGAATCATAGATTTAAAACTGGAAGGGGCCTCAGAGATCATTTAATCCAAAACTCTTTTTTTTTTTTTTACAGTTGAGGACATGAGCCCCAGAGAAGTTAAGTGATTTGTCTATGATCTCACAGTTAGTAAATCCCTTTTCTCTTTTTCTGTAAATAATCTATACTCCCTAGCTATATTACTAGCACATACACCTGAAGGTAGTCAGAGGAAGGGAAGGAAAATGAAGTTTAAAATCATTTACTTTGCTGTTTGTGACCAACTCCATATTAAAAACAAAATAGGCAATTTTGGGGGGCTAAATTTTGAGTTTTTGAGGCCTTTGAATTGAAATGAATGGTTTCAGAACATTTGGAAAGAATTCTTATTCAATTCAGCAAGGATTGATTTCATCAATGTAGGTAACTCCACTGATATATAGCATTTACCCCTTCCATGTCTTTTTAGAGGATTTAAGGACTTGCTGTGGTCTAAAAAGCTCATCACCTCATCATTAAGCCTCCCTGTATTTATGTAGGCTGTGTTTCAGACTGTAAATTGAAGCATTTCTAGCTTGGAAAGAAGATCTAGGGTTTGTGCTTCATTGTTAAGACATCCAAAAACTCAAGATAATCTCCACATTACAATGAAGTTTGGAAAGGAAGACAGGGAACAAACAGAACAAAATCTTTACACTTCTGTTAGCTCATATTGAAGAGAGGACAGTGTAGTTTGAAAAAAATGATAGTGGGTAGAGCCAGGATGGCAGAGTAGAGAAAATACTCAGCTGAGATCTCCTAACATTCCCCTCCAAACAATAATGCCTGAAATTTACTTTAAAATAATGCCTGAAATCAAAATCTAGAGTGGCAGAGCCAATGACATGTCAGAGTGAAACATTCTTTCAACCAAAGACAACATAGGAGATTGAAAGGAGAAATCTGTGACTTGGCAGAGGAGGCTGGCCTGTAGCCCTTGTGGATGAAACATCAGTTATGATAGTAGGTAGGGATGACAAAAGCAACAGCAGCTTTGGGAGAGCAGCTTTGGGATCCCTCAAGCCAGAGATGGTAAGGGAACCTGGCAACTAGTCAGAAAGAGATTTCAGGGTACCCAAGGGCTAGCACTAGACACTAGACCAGACTCTGTTTGGCAACTCCATTGCATATGCCCACTTCTAGATCACAGATCCAGGTCAGAGAGGAGTACTTTTAGTCAAAAGGGACTGGAAGCCCTGGGAGGCAGTATCACTTCCATCCCCAAAGGATCAGGGACCCTAAGGAACAGTATCATTTCCTGTTCCAAAGGAGGAGGGACTGTTAGGAGCAGTATCAGTTGCCATCCCAAAGGATCAAGGGTCCTTTCTGGATAAGGAGCAGAGTATAGACCAAGAGGGAAGTGACTATACTTCCCTCCAGATCACATCAACTGAAAACTTATAAACTCCCAGAATTAGCTCTGAAAACAGCCATGTCAAAAAGTCTGAAGCTTGAGACAGATCTCCTCCTCTCATACTGGGAACAGAGTCCAACATTAATATAAAGTTCCCAGTGAAAAAAGGGGAGGGGTGAAGAAATGAGCAAAAAACAAAAAAAGAACCTGACTATAAAAACATACTGTGATGACAGAGAAGATCAAGACAAACTCAGAAGAGGACAATGTAGCCAAAACAAGTACAAACAAAGCATCTAAAAAAATTGTGAATTGGAGATAAGCCCAACAAGAATTTGTAGGAGAGCTGAAAAATAATTTTCAAAATCAAAAAAGAGTGGTAGAAGAAAAATTAGGTAAAGAAGTTAAAGCAAAGGAAGAAAATTACAAAAAGGCAATTAATAACTTGGTAAAAGAGGCACCAAAAATACTAAAGAAATTAACACCTTAAAAACATAATTGGCCAAATGGGAAAAGAGGTACAAAAGCTCACTGAAGAAAATAATTGCTTAAAAATTAGAATTGGGCAAGGGGAAGTTAATGAGTCCATGAGACATCAAGAAACAATAAAACAAAGTCAAAAGAATGAACAAATAGAAGAAAATATGAAATATTTCATCAGAAAACTAAGTGAGCTGGAAAACAGATCAAGGAGAGATAATTTAATAATTACTGAACTACTTGAAAGCCATTATCAAAGAAAGAGACTAAATATCATATTTCAAGAAATTATTAAGGAAAATGCCCCAAATTCCTAGAAACAGAGGGGTAAAATAGAAATTAAAAGAATCCATTGACCACCATCTGAATAAGATCATACTAAAATGAAAACTCCTAGGAACATTATAGCCAAATCCCAGAGCTTCCAGGTCAAAAAGAAAATACTTTAAGCAGCAAGAAAGAACCATTTAAATATTGTGGAGGCACAGTCAGTATTACATAAGATTTAGCAGCTACCGCATTAAAGAAGTGGAGAGTTTGGAATATGATATTCCACGAGGCAGAAGAGCTGGGATTACAACTAAGAATAACCTACCCAGCAAAATTGAATATAATCATTTAAGGAAAAAAGCAGACATTAATGAAATAGAGGACTTTAAAGCATTCCTGATTAAAAAAAAAAGACTAATGCTGAATAAAAAATTTTACTTTCAAATACAAGACTCAAAAGAAGTATTAAAAGGTAACCAGAAAGAGAAATTATAACTGTTTAGCTTTCTATATGGAAAAATGATACATGCATCTTCTAAGAACTTTATCATTATTAGGGTAGGTAAAAGGATTCTACATAGAAAGAGGGCACAGAAGTGAGTAAATTATGTTGGAATGATGTAAAAAAAATTGATAAGTGAGAAAGAGCTATGCCCTGCAAGAAGGAGGAATGGAAAGGAAAAGTGGTGAAAATTATCTCATCTAAAAGAGACCTGCAAGGTTTTACAGTAGAGGGGAAAATGGTAAGGGGTTGCGGGTCAGGCAGTGGCTGAACCTCATATCTAAATTGATTCAAACATACTTAATTAGTAATAGAAATCTATTTTACCTGACAAGAAAGTAGGAGGGGAAGGGGATTAGAGATGAGGGGAGTGATGAAAGGGAGGACAGATAAAAGAAGGCAATGGTCAAAAGCAAAATAGACTTGAGAGGAGGGACAGAATGAAAAGAGAAAAAGGATAAACAGAAGAAAATAGGATGGAGAGAAATGCACAGTTAGTAATCATAACTGTGAAAATAAATAGAATGAACTCACCCATAAGACAGAAACAGAGAGCAAAATGGATTAGAAACCAGAATCCAACACTATGTTGCTTACAAGAAACATACCTGAAAGAGAGAGACACATAGAGTTAAAATAAGGGGCTGGAGCAAAATCTGTTATGCTTTAGCTGAAGTTAAAAGTGCTGGGCTAGCAATCATGATCTCAGACAAAGCAAAAGCAAAAATAAACCTAATTAAAAGGGATAAGCAGGGGTACTGCATCTTGCTAAAAAGAACCATAGATAATGAAGTAATATCAAACTAAACATATGCACTAAATGATATAGCAACCAAATTCTTAAAGCAGAAGTTAAATAAATTATAGAAATAGGCAATAACACTATAATAGTGGGGGACCTTAACTTTCCCCTTGAAGAACTAGATAAATCTAACCATAAATAAGAAAAAAAAGTCAAAGAGATGAATAAGTCTTAGAAAAGGTAGATATGATAGGCCTTTGGAGAAATCTGTATGGGAACAGAATGGATTATACCTTTGTTCTCAGCTATACCTCCCTTCACAGGGATTGACCATGTATTAGGGAATAAAAACCTCCAAGTGCAGAAAGCCAGAAATATTAAATGCACCCTTTTCAGACTGTAATGCAAAAAAATTTAATTTAATAAAGGTCCATGGAAGCATAGATTAAAAGCTAATTGAAACTAGTCTAATCCTAAAGAATGAGTGGGTCAAAGGACAAATCATAGAAATGATGAATAACTTCTTTAAAGAGAATGACAACAATGAGATAATATTCCAAAATTTGTAGGGTACAGCTTTAAAGCAGTACTTAGTGGAAAATTTATATCTCTAAATGTTCATATCAAAAAAAAGAGAGAAAGAACAGATCTGTTAATTGGGCATGCAACTAAAACATTTTTTAAAAATAACAATTTAAAAATCCCCAATTAAACACCAAAATGGAAATTCTGAAAATCAAAAGAGACATTAATAAAATTGAAAGAAAAAAATATAAGCTGATTCTTTAAAAGAAAAAAAAACTTAGGTTTACCTCTATTAAAATTATAGGATTTCAAGGATTAATGAAATGGTTATCACTTAGTTGAACGTCACTGTCTTGTGATGCACTACAGTAATTATCTTTCAGATTTTATTGAGCTACTGTTGTGTATGAAGCACTGAAAAATCACAGCTGTGCTATTGACTATTGAGTATATTGATTATAATTTATACAGGTAGAATAAAATATCTTCTAAACCAAATGTGAATACTTGCTTCTGATTAACCTTTGGTTCCCAAACTGAATTGTTTTGATTAGTCAGGGGCGTACTAATAACCCTGAGACAAATGATCATCTTTGCCCAGGGAAAGGTAGTATGCAGAGAAGTTAAATGATTTCTCTAGGTTACTGAAGATATTGGTGAACTCCATTGTTTCATGACTAGACCCTGAACCAGTATCAATTCTTGTTTTATTAGTGGAAACAATCGAACTGCTGCACCCATCCTTCTGCCAATAGAAGAAGTCCTTCAGACTTTGCAAGATCTGATCACCTATTTTCAGCCTCCAGAGGAAGAGATGCAACATGAAGATAAGCAAAACAAGCTCAGGTCACTCAAAAATAGACAGAATCTGTTTAAAGAAGAGGTGAGTTTTAAAAGTAAAGTTTTAGATAGTCTTTGTGCTTTGCCCTTAGAATCCAAATATGTTAAATAAATTGCTATTCAGATTTATAGTTCTAAGCAAGCATTGTATGAGGAGGAAAGTTGAGAATAGTGGGGAGAAAGGATGAAATGAGATCACAAGAATTCTCGAGATCAAGGTTACTTGATATTTCCAATTACACTGACCCTTTATTTTTTTTAACCAAGATGGTACATGCAAATAATATTGTATTTAATGCTTTAATACTATGTATGCTATTCAAAGCTCATTTAAAATGTACCTCCCTTTTCAAAATAACTAGTAGCTGAGTACTACTTCTATAGCACTGAATTGTGGTGTGCTTCTTTATCACCTTCTGGTTCCCAAAGTCAGTACCAAGACAAGGGCCAGAGGGGAATTTCACTTGTCATGTTGGCTGCTGACACATACATTTGGTGTTTCTATTCAATATTCAGGAATAAATGTATAATGTAGCTGTTTTATATGTAGTAGAGTGTAGCTGAAAAATTCTGTTTTGATCTTCTTTTCACTAATCAGGCCCCTTATTTATAGGAATCATGAATGTCCTCTGCTGTGTTTGAATGGAATTACTTGAGTTTATTCATTTTTTTAAAATTGCAAAGTACTGTATCTAACACTATTTCTAAGTGAATCAGATCCATTTTACACCAAACGGAAAACAGGCTTTTGTGAGATTCATTCACACTCTTTTCTTCTTCAGTATGTCCTTGGATTGAGTTAAACACATGGGGACAAACAAATCAAGGGAGATTGCTGATTCATCCCCAAAATGTATGCTATTTAAGTCTCTGATGCATAGAAGTGCATATATTTTTAAGAAAAGCACATACACACACAATGGAGACATTTGCATATTAGCAGTCTCAGCTTTAAATTTTGAAATGTTTAGGGGAAAGGTGTGAAAAAGAAATATACAGATTTTCTAAGCAGGAATTTTTTCCTTTCCCCATCTTCTTTCTTAGGGAATGTTGGCCCTTGTGTTAAATTGCATTGACCGTTTAAATGTCTACAACAGTGTAGCACATTTTACTGGGTTTGCAAGGGAAGAAAGTGGTACAGCTTGGAAAGAAATTCTGAACCTCCTTTACCAATTGCTAGGTGAGTACATAGGAAATTTCTTCAATTGAAAGAGATTCAAAGTGGATTAAAAAATGAATATTCCCTTCCCAGTTCAAAATTGAAGTGGCAAAGCCTACCTAGCAAGTCTGAGTATTCAACCCATCTTTTTATATCCAGCAATGAATTATGCCGATGAATTGCAGTTCTAGTGCTTTAACATCATCAAGGTAAAGCAGCGTAGTATAATAGAGCCCTGGACTGAGAGTCTCTATATCTATGTTATGGTCTCATTTCGGCAACCAATTGGATGTGTCCTAGGATGAGGCATTTAATCAGTTTCTCAAGTTGTTTGGACAAGCAAATTGTAACACTATGATTCCTTGAATTGTTCTCATTCCAAAGAAAATTACTATTTTAAAATCTGAAGCTGTATCTTTTCATTTTCCACTTTGTGGCCATTTTCTGCTGACTTGCCAATATGATTGTTCTATTAGTGGAAAGAACACTGAAGTAGGAATGAAATGACCTGGAGAAAAAGTGGGTCTCCTGTTTACTAGCCATTTTCCATGAATAATTTTTTGTCTCTTTGAGAATCAGTTTGTGCATCTATAAAATGAGTATAATAATAACTGCCTTAAATATTTCAGGGGCCTACTGTAAAGTTTTATGTATGTGAAAGACTGCAAACTGTAAGCACTGTACAAACATAGAGTATTAGTGAGAATGAGGGTTAATCACACACATGGACTTAAGCATGTACCAGTGCTACTCCTTTTTTTTTTTTCCTTTGCTAGTTGTTAAAGTCAAAGGCTGAATTTGTGGTGTGGAGTTTGTTTCTATGATAATACACAATAATACAAATTCAGGGGCTCCTGATAATCAAATTTTAGAGGAGAGAGGATTCAAGAAAAATTATTAAACCAGTTGGCATAGTCCACTTTCTGCAGTAAAACGTATTGGTAGTACCCTGAAACAGGTTAGCATCTTTAAGCTAAAGACAAGCTGACCAACTTCCATCTAGAGGTTTTTCTAAGAGTCAGTGTGCTATTTGTATGAATCAGAGCACAAGGAAATAAGTTTGTTTTTTCTTCATGGATGGCCAGGATTAAGTGGGACTTGGATTCAATAAAATACCTGTTGACTGATTGATTCATTAGTTCCCTGAGTTAGAAATGGTTATGAGATCTTAATTCGGATCTTGCCCTCCACTGACTCCTGAAGGAGGAAACATAGGTCTGAAAGCAAATTTTAAGGCATGGATTTTCACCTTATGCGCTTACCATTCTTCAATATTGTACCAATATCATGCCTATCTACAATACCATATTGTATATTACTAGGCAGAATAAAGTCCTAAGTTACTCTCATACTGATCATTTTGCCAGCCTTGGACTATTAGTCTTCACAGCTGTTCTTAAGTGGCAATAATTATATTCCTTCTTTATAGGGATGCTTCCTCCTTAGCTTAACACCTAGGAATAGAAAATATAAGTAAGCAGATTCCTCAGCCTTTAAAAAGAAATGAGGAGAAGAATCAAACTCAGAAATTTTTAACTATATGAAAGACAAGGTATAAACCTTTTTCAATGTCAGTTTTGTAAAACAATATAATGATGTAGCTCCTTAAGGTTTATCAAGCACTTTCCTAGAGAATATTCTGTGAGGTAAATAGGGTAGATAGTGCAGATGAATAAACAAACTTAGATATGGGAAATTACTTGCCCCTAGTCATACATTAGGTTTTGGAGCCAGGACTTCAATCTAAGTCTTCAAAAGCAAAGTCCAGAGCCTTCCTGATCCTCAGTGCTTCCTCTTTTGGAAATCTCTAATACAAAATGTAATCTTGTCGAAGGGATGAAGTGGGAAGGATTATTTTCTCCAATTTAAATATCAAGGAATCTTCTTAAAGATGTTTATTCAGTAGGTTCACAGGTCTGCTGCTATTACTAGTCACTTCTTATCTATGTGATTAAATTTTATCTTGTTTTCAGCTGCCCTCATTCGTGGTAACAGAAATAATTGTGCTCAGTTCTCCAATAACCTTGATTGGCTGATTAGTAAATTGGACAGGCTGGAATCTTCCTCAGGTAAGAAATAGATTATGATAGTAAACCTATAATTGGGTAAAACAAAACATTTTTTCTTCTTTTTTCTTACAGAGGACATCATGTCAGATTCTTGCAACTGGTCACTTTGTAGTGAATTACATAGTACTAAAATATATATTAACCTTAATAGGCAGAAATAAGGTTCTGAATTTCTCACAGATAAGGTTGTATTTCACAAAACTATTTTCATTTGTCAGTCTCAGATTTTCATTTTGTCATTTATCAGCTTGTAGATTCTATGAAGTTCTCCATCTTCCATCTTTTTAAAACTTTTAATTTATTTTACTTTAATTAATAAGCATTTATTTTTTCATTCCTCCCACTTGCCCTCCTTCCAATGGGAAAATGAAAAAAATTATAATAAATAGTCATAGTAAAGGAAAACACATAACTCAGTTGGCCATGGCCAAAAATGTATATCTCTTTTAGTATCTTGAATCCATCACTATTCTGTTAGGTCAATAGCATGCTGGATTTTTGGTCTTCTTGAAACTGTGTTTGGTCGTTACATCGATCCTAATTTTTAAGTTTTTCAAAGTTGTTTGGCTTTATATTGTTGTAGCTGTTTTATAAATCCTTCTACTGGTTCTGCTCATCTCAGTTTGTAAGAAACAAGTTTTCCCAAGTTTCTCTGAAATCATTCTTTTCTTACAAAGCAGTAATATTCCATCATATTAATATATCATGATTTGTTCAGCCATTCTCCTTAGTTTTCAATTCCTTGCCAGTACAAAAGGAGCTGATATAAATATTTTTGTGCTATGAGTCTCTTTTTTCTTCCTTGATTTCTCTGGGGGTTATAGTTGACCTGGTAGTGGGATTGCTGGGTCAAAGTATATGGACAGTTTAGTAACTCTTTGAGCAGAGTTCTGGAAGTTGCTTTCTAGAATGTCTGGACCAATTCATAATGTCAACAAGACTCAAAAGAATAAAATACAAGGCAAAACAAAGCCCAGATATTTCTTCCAAAAGTGTGCAGAAGTTGACCTTAACACAAAGTCTCAATTCGAGAAGTATGGATGGAAGCATGAGTATACCACAACAAAAATAAACCCTACATAAAGAGCCATTGTGATGACAAATATGCCAAGACTAAAATTCAGAAGAAGAGAATAACTCTAGTATGTCTTCAAGCAAAATACCAAAGAACAATACAGTTTTGGCATGGTCATGAAGTCAGGAATTCTTCCAGGTATTCCCAGAGGAAATAAAGAAAAAGTTAAAGAAAGGAGTTTAAATGATTTTATAAATGAAATGAGAGCACCAGAGGAAAGAGTTAGAAAAGAAATGAGAGACATGAAGAAAAGACTTGAAAAGAGAATTTATACCTTAGCATAAGTGCTACAAAACAGCAAAACTTGCCAAAACAGCAGCCCACTTGAAAATTAGAATGAACCAAATAAAAGTTAATGACTCCATGAGACAACATTGCAATATAAAAAGAAAGAAAAGCCTGAAAAATAGGATATTAAGATATTTCATAGCAAAAACAAATGATGTACAAAATAGATCAAGGAGAGAGAATTTAATGATCATTGGACTTAGTATGTGGCTGATATTTTAGCGTTGGACTTCCTGAAAACTATGACTAAAAACAGAGCTTAGAGACATTAAAGTCTTTTATAACTAGAGGACAAAGTGAAAGTAGAATCTACTGAGTAAGAATCTCATTGACAAAATCTAGAGCTTCCAAGTAAAAGAAAAGATAGCCAAGAGGAAACAAACTTATTGCTCTTTGCAGATCATATGATATTTCACTTAAATACTACACAGTCAAATAAAATAATTAAAAATGACTTTCAGCTAAGTTGTAAGATATGAAATGTACCCATACAGATGACCAATTATTTCTCCATATTGCCAGAAACACTCAGCAGGAAGAGATAGAGAAATTTTTTTCAAAGTAATTTCAGAGTATATAAAATACTTGGGTTTCTACCTACCAAAACACACATATGAATGTGAATGTACGAAAATACTCTTTGCACAAATACAGATCTAAATAATTGGAGAAATATTATTGCTTATGCTAGGCAAAATGTAATAAAAATGACAATGTTATCTAAAGTAATTTACATATTCAGTGCCATACCAGTTAACCTACTAAAAAATAACTTTTTAGATTTAGAAAACATAATAAAGAAATTCCTCTGGGGGCACAAAAGATCAAGAATCTCAAGGGAAATAATGAAAAAAAGGGGAAGGGAAAGAAATATAGTAGTACCAAATCTCAAACAAACTATAAAATGATAATGGTCCAAATTTTTTGATATAGGTTAAGAAATAGAGCTATCAGTGGAGAGGAATAGGTACATAATATGCAAAAGGAAACAAACACAATAGCCTAGTATTTGATCAATCCAGTGACCATCTGGTTTAAAAATATACTATTTGATAAAAACTGTGGGAAAACTACAAAGTAACCTGAAAAAAACTAGGTAATGACAAACATCTGATATCATATACCAGCATAAACTCCAAATAAGTGATAGACATAAAGGGTTCTATTATAAACAAATCAGAGGACCAACAATTTCAGATCTATGGATGGGGAAAGAGTTCACAATCAGAATGAAGATAGAGATACATGAAATCAATACAGCCAAAATTAAAGGAAGCAAATAGATAACTGGGGGAAAAATTATGCAGCAATGTTCTCTAACAAAGGTCTCATTTCTCACATATATAGAGAACTGAGACAAATTTGTAAGAATAAGATCCATTCCCAAATTGATAAATGATCAAGAAATAAGAAAAGGCAGTTTTCAGAGGAAAAAAAATCAAAGCTATCAATAGTAACATGAGAAAATGCTCTAAATCACTAATAATTAGAAAAATCTAAATTAAAACAGCTCTGTGGTTCCATCTCATACTCATCAGTTTGAAAAAGTTGACAAGGTGGAAAAATGAGAGATGTTAGAAGGACTGAAAGAAAGCAAATATATTTAATGCATTGTTCGTAAGGCTGTGAATTAGCACAGTGGAACTATGCTCCCACAGTTACTAAACTGTGCATACTCTTTGGTACAGTGACAAAAGTACTAGTTCTGTACCTCCAAAGAAATAAAAAATGAACTCGTATGAACAAAAAAATATTTATAACAGCTCTTTTTGTGGTGGTGAACTTGGAAATGGCTGAACAAATGATGGTATATGATTACAATGGAATACTACTGGTGTGATCATCATAAGATATGTGGAACAGAACAGTTTCTGAGCAACTTGAGAAAACCTATGAACTGAGCAGGACCAGAGTGAAACCAAGTATATAATAATAATTTATGTACTTACACTAATTTCTGACCTTCTCCTTCCCCCACCCCTACTTCAATAACAGTTTCTTATTCTTTACTTTTAAACCCCTCTTCATCATTCACTCTCTAAGGTTAGAGTGTATTTTTATTATGACCAAACCATCCCTGAATCTGCCTTTCCTCCTATTTCCTCCTCCCTTTCCCCTATTTTCCTGTTGAGTTGAATGTTTCTATACCAAACTATTTGTGTCTCTTCTACCCTTCTTTGACTAGACCAGATGAAAATGAGCTGCAAGTGCCACCTGCCCCCTTCCTTTTCTTAGTATAGTCATCTTCTTAACTATCTCAACCATGTGATATAGCAAGTTCCCCTACTCATTTTCCTCTTTTCTTCACTAGCATGTAATACATGCACCTCCTTTCCTTTCTTCTTTTAAACTAATCAAAACATAATAAAACCACTCTCAGGTCCTCTATTTCACTTTATTCTCTGCATGACTTTTTATTAGAGACAGTTGTTTTATTAGAATATAAATATTCAATCGTTGTTCATATCCTTTATAGTCTTTTTCAATTACATGTTTATATCTTTTGTAGTCTATTCCAATTACTTAATTTTGAAGCTCTAGATTTGTTACAGTATACCTGAGAGTTTTCATTTTGTGGTTTCTTTTAGTATGTTATGAGGAGATTCTTCCTAATTTCACTTTGCCCTCTGGTTCTAATGTATCTAGGCAGTTTTCATTCAAAATTTCTTAAAACATTACATACAAGGTCTTTTTTATGGTCTTTGTTTCAGGTAGATCAATGATCCTTAGATTTCTCTCTCCCCACTCCTACCCCCCAATGTCTTTTCCAGGCTAAATTTTTTTTATGAGAGTCTATACATTTTCTTTTATTTTTTAAAAATCTTTTGGCTTTACTTTAGTATTTTTTGATTCTCATGAAGTTAATAATTCTGTTTGATCTATTCTAATTTTCACAGTCTGTTACGTTGTTGAGGTTTTGTACCTCTTTGTGCCAAGCTGTTACTTTTCTTTTCCAATTCTTTCATCTAGAATCCATGTACTTTTAGTATCATTTTTTTAACTCTTGCTTCATTTCTTCCAGAAATTCTAGCTGACCTTGTAGCCAAGCTGTGATTCACTTTAGGCCTTTACTTGTAGATGTTGTGGAGGTATTCCTCTTGATTTGTATCTTTGGCATCCCTTGTTCCACAATAATTTTTGATCATGAATGACCTTTTCTTTTTTCATTTGATCATCCTTCTAGCTTTATATCCTGAATTGGGATTTCATGACAGGGTTAGGCTTTGTACACTTTTGGAAGGAATATTGGAGACTTGTATGATTGTGATCTGTATTGTCTGGAGTCCTGCCACTGCTTTTTCTGGTTATTTAATGCTTTCTTTTTCAAGGATATCAAGGGTGGCCTGAGAGCTGCAAACTTTCAGTAGATTGTAAGCAGTCTAAAATAGGACACAGTCTCAACTATGCCCTCCTGGTCTGAACTTCGTAGTTTCCCAATCCCATTTTGAGACTGGGAAGAATACCTGCAAGCTCTGCCCTGATCAGAGCCCTAGTAGACAATGTGAGCCCAGCCTTTGTCAGCTAGTCAGAAAGCTTTGTAAGTTCAGAGCAACAGAGGTTATAAACTAATCCCCCTCTTTTTCATTCCCTGACCTAGTTACTTACTTATAAGCCCTACTCCATGTCTGTGGGTTAAAATCATGAACTTGTCCCTGGGTCAAACAACAATGATATAGACTGCCCTTCTGCAGAGCTCTTGCCCTGGTTCCTCATCTTCAAGCCCCAGCCCAGGTCTGTGGGCTGAATCTATCTTGCTCCTAAGTGAGAGCAATAGAGCTATAAGCTCATAATAGGTCCACATTCCCTGCCATGGCTACTCAAGTAACTCTAGGCCTCAAACTACCACAGCTATAATAGTTTCCTTCCTCTTTTGTGTGCATGTTTATGTTTATCTTGCATTCTTTTTTTTTCACTTTTCTCTTTTCTTTTTTTGATCCTTTTCCTTTTTTTTTTTCTAGTGTATCCTCATCTTACTTATTGCTTTCATTCTTTTATTAGTTCTGGCAATCCTATTTCTTTGGTTCCTACTGCTATGAGGGTGTGTTTTTTTTCATTCATTTTCTGCTCAGATAGTGCTATGAAACAACTTTGGCCTGAAAGAAGAAGTGAATCATCCTAATTTATGTCTTTGCCATCATAGCCATTGGTGAACTACAGTATAGATCACCACCAGTGAAAGCTCACAACCTTGTAGGCATTCTGTAGGCATCTAAATTCTAAGCTGTGAGTGTGTGAGGCTGTATGATAGAGACTGTTCACTTCTCTGGGAGTTCCATGGAAAGGCTTTGATCCTCTTCATTTCATCCTTAGTATGTGGCTGATATTCTAGCAATTATATCTAGGGAAGAGTCCTCATGGGCTAAGTCTCTTCTCTGCCTTGTGGCTTTCCATCTCTTCTGCCTTAATCTGTGTCATGTCCAAACATTTTTCAAATATTTTAACAGTATGCATATGCTAAATGTTTACTATGTTCCAGGCAGTGCACTAAGCTCTGGAGATACAAAGTAAGACAAAAAGAGTACCTGGTCTCAGAGAGCTTACATTCTAATAAAGGAGGAGCAGGGGAGAGGGGAAACCAACATATACACAATTTTGTACATATAAAATATACACAAGGTAAATTGGAAATACTATTAGAGGGAAGGTACCAGCATTCAGGGAAATGTTCAAAGGTTCTTGTACAAGATAGGATTTTAGCTAGGAGCTGAAGGGAGCAGCAGAAGCCAGGAGATAGAGATGAGAGAGAGAACTCTAAGCATGGGGAGAGGAGCCAGGAAAAATGTTTAGAGTGAGGAAATGGAGTGCTGTGTGCAAGCAATAGCAAGGAGGCTACTATACGTGGAAGAGAGTAAGATAGAAGAAGACTGGTAAAGTATGAGAGGGCAAGGTTTAGAAGGGCTTTAAAAACCAGATGATTTTATAGTTGGTCTTGAAGATTATAGGGAGCCACTGAAGTTTATTGAGTAGGGAAGTGATATGGTCAGACCTTCACTTCAGAAAGATCACTTTAGCAGCTAAGTACATGATTAACCAGAGAGGGAAGAGATTTGTGGCAGGCAGACCAAGCAGCAGGCTTTTGCAAATAGTCCAAGTGTGAGGTGATAAGGGCTTGAACTAGGTTGGCAGCTGTGTCAGAGGAGAGAAGTTAATATATATATAAATGAGACATGTTGCAGAGGTAGAAATGATAGAACTTGAGAACATATTGGGTATATGTAGTGAATGTAGGTGACACCAAGGTGACTTGGAGAATGGTGGTATCCTCAATAATAATAGGGAAGTTGGGAAGAAGGGAGAGTTTTAGGGAAAGGATAATGAAATTGGTTTTGGATTTGTTCAGTTTAATATGTATACAGGACATCCAGTAGGTAGTTGGCGCAACAAAAATGAATCTTAAGAAACCCAAAATAGAGAAGGTATTGAGGAACCAAGACTCTTAAGTAATTGATCTCCAAAGGATTTTCATTAAGAGATTATGATTTGAAAGTATAATAAGGACATGTTAATTAGACAGCTTATGTTTAATAAGTACCTCTTTATTCAAGGAACTGCCCTAGGTACCCTAAGTACCAGAACAAAGGGAAGAGAACACAATTTCTGTTTTCAGTAAATTTAGAGCTTGTTAGAATTTTTGAAGCGGTTCTACCTGCCTGTCATTTACTATGAAGTTGATGACAAAAGGTCTCAATCCAGGTTCTTGCTAAAAAAGATAATCTCTATAATTTGAATATCTTGCATCACTTATAATGAGCTGTAGAACTGTTCCTATGCTTACTTTTAATCAAGAACTGTCTTGGTTTAAACAAATAAGAATTACACTCTCCAGTTGCCTTTTCATGTTTTAAGGCAGTGATTGTTTTTTATTAAGAGATTAAATATACTTACCTATATGTCACAGGCTGCTTTGCTCCAGGAGATTTAGAGTCATCATACATAACTTCATCCTCTATCTTGAGACATTAAGTAGATTTGATAAGTTGATGATATTTATTTTCCCTCAGGATGCTATTTTCATTCTTTGCTTTCTAAATTTTATTAAAGACTACAGGATACTAATTGTCCAAATGACTTTTATAATTTTCATCTAGGTATTTTGGAGGTATTGCATTGCATCTTGATTGAAAGCCCAGAAGCCTTAAATTTGATATCAGAGGGACACATAAAATCCATCATTTCTCTTCTGGATAAACATGGCCGCAATCACAAGGTAGGTGTGGGAGGAACAACAAAGAGCAATTTGAGTTAATGTGGTACCTTCCTTCCAGGGGCTCAGAACATTTTGTAAGAATTATCTCTTGGTTCTAAGCTGTCCAGTAAAAGTGATGCACAGCAAGACCAGCACAACACATGAGCTTTATTTGAGATCGTGGTTCCTAATTTCTTCTCCAGTCCTAAGATTTTCTCATCAGTGTGGTAGAGTAGAAAGTTATGGATGTAGAATCAGGAAGCCTGGGGTTAAAATCCCACCTACTGTGCTATTTAACTGTATGATTCTAAGCAAGACACTTAACCTCTCTAAGCCTCAATCTCCTCTGCTATAAAACTAAGATAACAGTATCTATACCCAGTACTTCATAATACTGTTCTGAGGTTCATAGGAACTATATAAAATGCATTGCAAAACTTAAATTATTCTTTATCAATTGTTACTATAATTGTCAAATTCTTAATAAAGCTGTAAGTATCATGCAAGGCCAAATATGTTGATTTAATACTTTTTCCTATCCTCTAGGCCAGGGGTTTGTTTGACAGAAAGACAATACTTTTACACATATAGAGAAATATAGAGCAGAAAATGAATTAGAATAGAACCTCATTATAAAACTAGCTTGTCAGTATACAAATGCAATCCAACAATGGATGAGATCCCATTACAACTCTAGAAGGTAAGAGATTTCTTGATGCTGATTTGTACCATTATGAATTTACCGTTGACTAGTGGGACAGACTAGCAAGGCAAATTACTAGATCTCACTGGGCCTCATTTTTCTGATCTGTAAGTGGACATGATATTATCTTACCTACCTGAAAGCAGGGAACTAGATCAGCTGATTGCCAGCAATTCTTTCAAAGTATAAGATTTCTGCTTTCCAAGTCACAAAGACAGACAAAACATTAGCTATGGCATATTCTAGGACATTTCCCTGCTCTCCTACTACTTACTCACATATACGTATGTATAGAATCTTAAGCATCATAAGGTAAATCAAACCAAGAATTGATGGTCAGAATGATACTTGTAGACAAGAGTCAATTCATTTTTAAGATCTAGGATACACAGTTTGAATAAAGATCAGGGCAAGCAGTTGTGTCCCTCTAAGGGAGTTGAAGTTTGATTTGTGTTTACAGGCCTATATTTTCTAATCTTCCATCAGTCTTTGATGCCATAAATCACAAATGTATCTTTGGGGAAATGGAAATGAGCTTCTCTCTGCAGTATTGTTTAGATGATACATAGCATCCTTAGAAAGTATGCAAGTCATGGACTTGAACACCTGCAACATTATTTGGCAAAGAATAGAAAGCAATATTTGTGATCTCAAATTACTTTTCCAAATACAATAAATCAAAAATAGTCATGAGGCTTAGTTTTTAAAACCATTTTTCTCTGTGTGCCAACATGTTCCTTCCTTCCTGCTAACTATAATAGAAAGTAATTGATATGTACTCAAGTAACACAGAAGCATAAGGCAATAGCTTCATACAAATATCATTTGTCTATTGATAGAGTACTTACTCTAATCAATGTTTCTCCACAGGGACTTTTTAATTATACCATGTAATCTGCATTATAGGTTCTTTCAACCAGAAGCCACAAAACATTTAATGGATATTATTTAGAAGCAAGCTTGTTTATCATGCTTCGCATTTTAAAGAAAATCACCAACAGCCTAAGTCAAAGTACTGAAATATATTTAGAGAGCTGGTGCTTAGTGTGATTTGCAGCTTTTAACATTTTAGTTCTAATTTCTCTTTGAAAACTTCTAGATACTTAGTGAAACCTCAACCAAATTATCTTTGTATTAGAAATTGTACTCATGGATATGAAGAATATAATTTGATTTTTTTTTCTTAGTAGATTTGGAGCAGAAGGTATGATTGTCCAGAATGAAGGCCCTTTTAAATGAAAAATTATGCCATAGTATAATTTGTTTAAAAGTAAAATGTAATCCCAGGTTGTTATAATGGCATTGTGCTAGCTGTCTTAGAACTCTAGGTGGTAGAGGATGGTATGACATCACCACACCAGGCCAAATAGTTGTGACAGTTTTTCAACCTAACATGTAATGTGTAAAAAGGATTATTTCTACCATACTATCTCTGCATAAATGTGTGAACATACATTTGTGAACATATCTCTTTTTTTAAGAGCAACACAGAACTAACCAGGCATGACCCAAAACCTGGGTATCTGTTGTACTGCTTTTCCCCCTTGCAGACTGCCAAGAGTCCCGGTGACATAAGTCTTAAATTTTCACTTATATAATTTTGTGGTTTAGTACCAAAGATATTTAGGTCTATGGATGTCAAACCACTGGTCTCTCTGAACAGTATTTTCCCCCTTCTCATCTTCCAAATCATGGTCAAATTGAAATTACGTAGTTGAGCATAAAGGGTCAATTAAGACTGAAAGACTCTGAAGTGGAGAAACAATGTTCTATTGGACCTTAAGTTAAAAGTCTAGAAATAGGCTGGAAAAGGAACAAGCAAAAGAAAAAGAACCTGACAATCGAGAGTTACTATGGTGACTGAGAAGCTCAAAACACAAACTCAGAAGACAACAATGAAGTCAAAACTGCTACATCCAAAGCCTCAAAATAAAATGTGATTTGGTCTCAGGATGAAAAAAAATTCCTGGAAGAACTCCAAAAGAATTTTAAAAATCAAATAAAAGAAGTAGAAGAAATACCAGGAAAAGAAATGAGAATGATGTAAGAAAATCATGGGGGAAAAAAAGAGTCAGTAGCTTGGTAAAGGAGGCACAGAAAATACTGAAGAAAATAGGACCTTAAAAAACAGAATGGACCAAATGGTAAAGGAAGCACAGAAACCCACTGAAAAGAGAATGCCTTAAAAAGCAGAATTGGCCAAATGGAAAAAGATACACAAAAATTCACTGAAGAGGAGAACTCCTTAAAAGGTAGAATTGGTCACATGGAGAAAAATACACAAAAATTCACTGAAGAAAAGAGCTCCTTAAAAAGCAGAATTAGTTAAATGGAAAAAGAATTACAGAAGTTCACTGAAGAAAATAATTCCTTAAAAATTAGAATTAGGCAAGTGGAAGTTAATACTTCCATAAGACATCAAAATACTATAAAACAAAGTCAAAGGAGTGAACAATTAGAAGACAATGTGAAATATCTCATTGGAAAAATAACTAACCTGGAAAATAGATTGAGGAGAGATAATTTAAGAATTATAGAATTACCTGAAAGCTACAATCAAAGAAAGAGCCTAAAATCTTGCAAGAATTTATTCATCTTGCAAGAATTTATTCAAGGAAAACTGCTCTGATATTCTAGAATCATTGAGTAAAATAGAAATTGAAAGAGTCTACCAATCACCTCCTAAAAGAGATCCCAAAATGAAAACTCCCAGAGTTACTATATTTCAGAGCTCCAAGGTCAGGGAGAAAATATTGCAAACAGCCAGATAGAAATAATTCAGATGTCACAGAGCCACAATTAGGATAACACAATATTTAGCAGCCTCTATATTAAAAGAACTAAGAGCTTAGAATAGAATATTCTGAAGGGCAAAGGAACTAGGATTACAATAAAAAATCACCTACCCAGCAAAACTTATTATAATCTTTCAGGGGGGGAAATGGCTGTTTAATGAAAGGACTTTCAAACATTCCTGATGAAAAGACCAGAACTGGATAGAAAATTTGACCTTCAAATACAAGACTCAAGAGGAGCATAATTCATAAGGGATTCAATAAGCTTAAACTGTTTACATTCCTACATGGGAAGATGGTACTTTGTTACAATTGGGGCAGTTAAGAAGATTATACATAGATGGAGAACACAGGTGTAAGTTGAATATGATAGGATGATATTTAAAAACAAATTAAAGGGTGAGAAAGAGGAATGCGCTGACAGAAGGAGGAAGAGAGAGGTAAAGTGAGATAAATTATCTCATATAAAAGAGGCACAGAAGAGCTTTTACAGTGAAGAGGAAGATGGGGGAGTTGGGAGGAAGCCCTTGAACTTCCCTCTCATTGGAGTTGGCTCAAAGGGGGAATAACATACATACTCAGTTGAGTATAGAAATCTCTACTTAATTAAATATATTATTATAATTACACTATAATATTTTGTTTAAATCTAAATTGATAAGAAAGTAGGAGGGGAAGGGAACAAAATAAGGGATGGGACTGATAGAAGGGAGGGTAAATTGGGGGATATGGTAGTCAGAAGCAAAACACTTTTGAGGATGGACAAAGTGAAAGGAGAAAGAGAGAAGGATAAACAGGGGTAAATAGATAGTAATCATAACTATGAAAAAAAATTTATAGCAAGTTCCTCTGATAAAGTCTCATTTCTCACGTGTATAGAGAACTGAGTCAAATTTATAACAATATGATTCATTTCCCAATTGATAGTCAAAGGATAGAAACAGTTTTCAGAAAAAGATATCAAAGCTATCTCTAGTCATATGAAAAAAATGCTCTAAATCATTGTTGATTGGACAAATGAAAATTAAAACAACTCAAAGGTACCACTTCACACCTATCAGATTAGCCAATGTGACAGAAAAGGAAAATGACAGATGTTTGAGGGAATGTGGGAAAATTGGGACACTAATGCAATGTTGGTAGAGTTGTGGATGGATTCAACCATTCTGGAGAATGATTTGGAACCGTGCCCAAAGGTCTATAAAATTGCATACACTTTGACCCAGCAATACCACTTCTAAGTCTGTGTCCCAAAAAGAAAAAAAAAAGGAAAAAGACTTATACGTACAAAAAAATATTTATAGCAGCTCTTTTGTTTTTTGATGGCAAAGAATTAGAAATTGAGGGGTTGCCAGTCAATTGGGGAATGGCTGAACAAGTTGTGGTATTTTATTTTGATGGAATGTTATTGTGCTATAAGAAATGATGAGCAGGATATTTTCAGAAGAACCTGGGAAGACTTACATGAACTGATGAAAAGTGAAATGAGCAGAACCAGGAAAGCATTGTACACAGGAACAGCA